CAAGAAGAAAAATGGCGCTCACTTGCATTTAAAGATCAAAGAACTTCGCTTTTTGTCAGTTTTCAAGACAAATTTTAATATACACAAAAAATAAAAGCTGAAAAGATAGCATACTTTGCCGCAAACACAACAATTTGGCCTTGCTGTTTCCTCGGGGGTCCGCATGATTTTAACTTTTAATTATTGCAAGCTTTTTCATGGCTCAGTTTACTATTTTATTGTATGTCAAAGTAGTTCATATCTGCAGTTGGAAAATACATTTCTTCTGCTATCACCTCTATTAGAATCTTGAACAAATTGGCAAACCATTTTAACCTGACATAATGGCTTTTAGGTTTTGGCAGCACTGCGATACTATGGCACTGGAAGTTTCTTAAAAGTTATTGGTGACACCATGGGAATCTCGAAGGCAAGCGTCAGTCGGTCGTTGATGTCTGTGTCACGTTGTCTGGCCAATATTGCTCCAGAATGGATAACATTCCCCACATCAACAGTGGAGATAAATGTAAGAGTCCATTGGTGACATTTTAATAGGGGTAATTTCAGAAAATTTCCATTGCCTACAAAGGGTGGCATCATTTTCGCTTATGAAAATACAACTAATCAGCAATAAAGGAATTTCTCCCAGTCTTTACCAGTTTTGAATCCCCTACCCTGCTCTCCACCCATGGTAGAGTATGGATATTTCCATTCCATTGTTGTACAGTGCTAATGATTCCAGTAAACCTTGTAGGTTAATTTAAAGCGGTTACCCAGAAAGATGTACATGGGGTTTGAACCTAGTGTCCTATTTTTTATTTCTTTCAGAAAACTATGGCTGATTTCTACAGTATAGCTGGTTTTCCGAGGGTGATTGGGGCAATTGATGGCTCATTAATTGCAATTAAGGGTCCTGACAATGAGGAACACCTGTATGTCTGCCACAAGGGCTTTCATGCTATTAATGTTATGGCGGTGTGCAATGCACAACTGCTATTTACAAATGTTGTGAGTAAATGGCACGGTTCTGTTCACGATTCCGCAGTTTTCCACTCAAGTGCCTTGCAAGTCCACATGGAAAATGAAGGGGGTAGAAATGGGTGGCTGTTAGGAGACAGGGGTTATGGCATTCAGCCATACCTGATGACCCCATTTCGCCCAGATGATGTTTCCACAGCGGGTCAGGCCAAATACCAGAAGGCCCATACCAAAACAAGAAACACCATCGAGAGGGCCCTTGGCTTATGGAAGACAAGATTTAGATGTCTAGATGTTTCTGGTGGATCACTACAGTTCAAACCAAGTAACTGTTGTACCATCATAACAGCAACTGCAGTTTTGCACAATATGTGTATTGTTGACAATACAGCAATGCCAGTCAATGCTGACTACCCACCACAGCAAATCATGGCCTCTGCAGATCCCTGTGAACTCATCCCTGACAATAATGCAGCTGGATCATCAGTCAGGAGTGAACTTATAAATAATGTGTTCAGTTAAAGTTATTTTCTACATTAAACAAGTCAAAATATTATTGTACAACAAAATTTGACTTTCCTTTCTTATGCAAATACAGGGTTGTCATTAAGAGCCGGGGGCCGGGGATTTTCCCCGGCTACTAAGAGAGTGGCCCCCGGCTACTTTTATTGGAAAATAGAAGAAAAATAGAACCAAAAGAAATCCCTAGCCGTATGATTCCCCGCCTACTTGTTGTATTTACCCGGCAACTTGAAATCTTAGTGACAACCCTGCAAATAAATTATTATTCGGTAAGAGAGTGACGCTTAACATCACTCGGCCATATTTGCCCAGTAAACAAAACCTGAACACATTAGGTTTATTATAACAAATAACAAATAACGTCGTTGATCATTGAATGTTTCATGCTAAACAAAACAATTACCAATGTTATAAGAGGTCTGGAGGCCAAAGTAGTGAAACCAGTAGAGATCCTAACTCACTTTCTGTAATAACTTTTATTGTACATGTGGTAAAGGATGTTGGACCTTCATAATACAGTAAAAATCCGCGAGTAAGAACCTGTTAGCCTAAAATTTGCCATTTATATCCCCTATAAACAGGAACCTGTTTAGCCTAGAAAATGAAAAACAGGTTCTTATTTTTTAACATCATATTATTGAAATGCAGCTGCAAAACTGTGCAAGAATCCTGTTTGGGGAATTAGGAACTTGGCATTGCTGTGCAAATAAAAGTAATAATTTATTGATGTAATAAAAAAATAAAGTGCAAAAGGTTAATATCGTAGTATCGCATTTTGAAATTGACAAATAGGCTGATTACCATCTTGTTTTGTAGCTCGTTTTTTGTTAAATTTTTTTTTTACAGAAATAAGAACCTATTTAAGAACCTAAATAGCCTAAAATTGTGTTAACTACCATTTAAATAAGAACCTGTTTAGGCTAACTCCAGAAAATGTAGGTTCTTACTTGTGGGTTTTTACTGTATGTCTTAAAATCGGTAGAGTTAAATGAATTTACAAAAGTATACATCATTGTTTTAAGGCATGAAGACTCTTACACAAGGTGACTCTCAAACATGGTCATTGAAACTGCTCTATATTGATTTTGGCTACCTGCCTTGCACAATATCAAAAATAAAATACATACATATGTACATTGTTAATTATTAAGACGGAATCCTGCAGGAAATTGAGTAATTTTAATTTTCAGTGGACAAGAACCTTGTACCAGAATAATTTAAAGAATAATGCATTATTTTTTACATTTTTCAAGGGCTAAAGATGTAATTAGTCATCTGTAATAACACCGAGGAAAATTTATTATAAGAGTTCGAGAAAATAAATGTCAAATTTCACAAGAATTGTGAAAACACGAGTAAAATTCTGAAAATTTCATGTGTAAGGTGTCATTTTGTGTAATTTCACATTTATTTTAAATTTTCTTTGGTGTTATTATAGATAACTAAAGAATGCAATATTCTTTATATTATTCTGGTGCAACATTTTTGGCCATTGAAAATTAAAATTACTCAATTTCCTGACGGATTCCGTCTTAATTCAACATAAATAAGTACGTTCCAGTTTTATTTACAGTTTTTACAAAGAATGATACCAGTGGTCTACCTACTCTTCCACGGAAGAGCTGATTCGACCCTGCAAAAGGAAAAGTATACAAATTGTAGGATGTAAGCTTGACAAACATTTATTACAAGTGAAAATCACAGTGAAAAATGCCGTAATTAAAAAGATACCTTTCATTTTCATCAATAATAATTATTGTGTCTTAATGAATCAACTTGAGATGATTTTTGGTGAGCTTTAGTGCAATGAAAAAATTCTTCATAATAATTTAAGATCCACCCATTTAACACTAAAATTGGCAACAAAACACATTCATTATAATGTCTGGCGTGACATAAATGAGCACTCCATGAAGTGATCCATGATGCATATGAAAGAAGACAGTTTAAAATTTGTGGTTTGTACCTTATCTTTCTTGTCTTTTAACATTGATATTTCTAGCTCCACCTTCTTCATTTTCAGCTTGTAATAAGCTGTAACTGTTTCAAAGTACTGAAAGAGAAGATAAGAGAGTTCACTGAGCCAAAAGGGGAAAAACTATGGCTTAAATCACCCTCGTAAACATTTTCATTAACTAAAAGATCTGTTTATTATACTGTACAATATTATTTTAAGTGTCTTACATCCAGTTGAGCTTCAGAAAGAGTCTTTCTCTTCTTGGCTTTGTGATAATCATCCTGCAAGGTTGAATTATTCAGTATCAAAAACAAAAAGGGAAAAACTATGCATTATTTCACCTTCAAAACAATTGCATTTATTAAAATATGTGTATTTCAGATCTCTACATTTATTTTGTAAAAACAAAAATTTCTGTGTCTTACATCCTGTAATGTTTCTGCAAGCATCTTGCTTTTCTTGGCTTTGTGATAATCATCCTGCAAGATTGAATTATTCAGTAAATAAGTAAATAATAAAATGTGTGACTTCATGTAAGATTTTTGTACATGTTACAATGTTATGTTTTAATGAGAATTCCTGTTTTGCAAACAACTCAGAGGTTGGGACTTACAGTGAAACCAGAATAACTGTGAACACTTGAAACATTTCAGGAATGTTTATTCATATTGTGTTGTGACTAGTCAAAGCAAAGATCGGCCATGAAATGCGAGCTACCCACAAAACCACAATCTGATGAACATTTTGATTGCTGTTTAGTTTTCTCTGCCTTTCCAAAAATAATTCTGGTGTTCACGGTTTCCCAGTTTCACTGTAATTAAATCCACAATTAAAAACATATAGCAGCAGTAGACATTATGAACAGTGACAATTTATTTTACAGTGTTATAATCTTTGTCATTATTGCTATAATTTTTACTATCACTGGTACTTGGTTGCTGTAATATTGTTACTGTAATTATTACCAATTTTTTTATTATTACCAAAGTTTTAGTCATTCAGAAGTGTTTCCTTCTTACATTGTACTTACAGTGTCATTAGATTTGACATTGGCTGTACTTGTACTTGGAATGGAATCCCTTTTGTACATGGAATTTTGATGTAAAGTAACTTCCTGATTTGGGCTGACTTCCTGATGCCAAATAAAAAACAAGACAATAAATAAGTGACTTTTGATGATCAGGCAATGGCTGCTTTTATAATATTTTTTACTTTTGACTATCTTTTGTCTGCTTCCTCTTTCCTTCCCTCCTCCAAAATTTATGAAGAGGCAATGGTGTTGGGTGCTAACGAATGGTAACTTTCTGTATCTTTCAAAGAAAGAAATCAGTATAATAAAATTTCTTGGACATTTCCTTTCTTGTAAATAATAACAATGAAAAAACCTGCAATGCACCACAATAATTGTCTTCAAGGAGGCTGTCACTCATCACCGAGTACGTTTCCCACTCCACATCTGACACAGGTTTTGGTAAAGCTGGCAAAAATCAAAGATGGAGTTATTTTTAGAAAAGTCTAACACAGACAAAGCCCCTTAATGAGGTTTTTTTAAAACTGACAAAATTCAGTTACTAGTATTACTCAATTTCATAGTATCTTGACCCCCAGGAATGCCAGTAAAGATTTCAGGGCCGAGTATTCTGGCAACCTCCTGCTCCGACTGGCTTAGAATGTCCACGCTGGGCCCTGCACTGTCTGAGTTGTCCTTTGAACAAGAAAAAAAAACATTATTTGTGTTAAAAATGTCTTACAAAGTTCTGAATTTCCATTAGCAGAATAAAAAATATCCTACTGTTCATAAAGACCAGCAGAATTTGAACTTTCAAATGTCATCATGTTTTTTTGCCATCACCTTCATTTTGTTTGTCACATGAAGGCACGAAAGTTTCAACTTGCACCTGTGTACATAAGACAGCTCACCTCATCTGCTAAGAATCCATTTCCTGTTGTATTTAATTTTTTGAGTTCTTGCTGTCTGGCATGTCTTTCTTTTTTCTTGACACTTCCTGTTACATCTTCCCATTTTTTTTTAACCTGTAAGGATTTAAAGTATTACATGGAGGATCAAAGCATTCATGCAAGTAATATAATTATTATCCTTTAAGGCTCTTTACAGGGTTGTCACTAAGATTTCAAGTTGCCGGGTAAATACAACAAGTAGGCGGGGAATCAAATAGCTAGGGATTTCTTTTGGTTCTATTTTTCTTCTATTTTCCAATAAAAGTAGCCGGGGGCCACTCTCTTAGTAGCCGGGGAAAATCCCCGGCCCCCGGCTCTTAATGACAACCCTGCTCTTTATGAGATTACCAGGATGTAAAACCAGTCGGGTTTTACTAGACAAGTGTAATACATGGTTCCTGGGATACTACTAAGATGGAAGACTATGTTATATACTAGACTATGTTATATACATATAAACTCAAAAAATGAGGTAAAGAAATGGGGTTACTTATCTTTAAACCTAGAGAGCCTTACTGACTCCCAGGGGGGCATTCCAGTGCACTAATCTTCACTGAAAGCATACTTAAACACCTTCCTTTCTGGAAAGGTTGCAAGTACCCTACAATGTGGTAGTTACCTGTTCTACTGTTTTCCGTTCTGCAGGGTTTACTGCATTAACAGCATCTGCCACCTTTATCCATGCCTCTTTCTTCTTCTCATTTGTCACAAGATTGGAAAATTTGCTCTGCAGAATGTACTAGACAGAGAATGTATAAGCTTGTTACACAGATTTTCCAAAACTTTGCTGACATAATTATGTGTGTGACTCCTATATTCATTTTAAGAATTACGTGTTTATGTATATGAATCATGACAACACAGTTCTACATTTCCAGAGAAAGCTTGCTTCCTGAGTGACGTGACTATACAGAGTTAAAGTTACAAATATTTAGAATGACTGCTAAAAACTACCAATGACCTCTTAACAAGTTAATTATCAAAACTTTAAAAAAGAAACAAGACCAACAACATCATTTAAGGCTTAACTTCACTTACTTGATGCTTTCCATAAGCTTCTACCAGGGCATCTGTCATGCCTTGTGTAAATCGCGAACTTCTTTGTTTTTTTCCGGCAGACATCTTTTCAAAAACTTACATGCAAACTGACAAAGTACCAAAAAAACATGATAAAATTTGGCAACTAATAATAATAGTGGACATGTGGAAATGTAAAAGACATTAATTGTCTAGCTGTAGTAGAAACATTTGTCAAAAATATATTCGTAATTTTATCATTGATAGTACCTAATCAATTTACCATAATTAGTAGATGTAATAATTATTGTAATATTATTTTAATTTTTAAACAGATGTAGAGTGATGCAGTAATGAAAATGCTGTCAATAAACCTTTATTGGTTTTTCTTAAAGCATGCTTTATTTTACCTAAAATAATTCATTTATAAATGATTTTATAATAGGATTTAGCTTACTAGGCAAGTACAAGTGCTTTGCTCCTGGCCTAAGTGAAACGGCTGCCTCTTGAGTTTTCCTTAACAGACATCTATTTAATTGCATATTTCAAATACCAATACGCTTAAATTTTCAAAAATGTCACGGAATGTGTGATGATAATCAATTCATTTTAAAAATTGCCCAACTATTAAGTTTTTCTGCATGAACGCTGCATTTGTTACAGTTAATCTTAATCTCTTTAGTGGTTGTACTTTTATGAGGCTTAAGCTCATTTGCTTATTTTCACCTTTGACATCGTTCGCGAAATGGAGAAGCAGTACGAAAAAGGTTTAAAACCAAGAACCGAAATACAACATAATTTGGTTAATAACAAATAATTGCAATAAACAATTACAAAGAAAGGCTATGATAACTGATTGATGAAGTATAAATAAATAAAAAAATCTGTACATACCTTTAAACACCACAAAACCTTTTTCTGCACAACAACCGGCCACTGGATTGGCGAACGTACAGTACGGCAACATATTTTTTCCCGCGCAAACTGAGGGTAGCATGCCAACCAAATGGTGGTCATGAACTCCATCATACAGAAAAGCACATTCATTTTTAATGCATGAAATAGCACTTACCTGAAATATCAATATACTTACCTCTTAGCCTTGTGTCTTCTGAAAAAAATTAAACATGTAACCTCCACTTCGCACATCCATGGAATTATCAGCATGAGAATAGCTCAACAGTAACTGTAGCTTATCGATGACGAAAGGCAAACATGAATCGAACTACTGAACGCAACTGATTTGTGGTCATCGTCGATTATCGCTTGTAAATTACATGATAATACATAAAAATGACCTCTTGGTTGCTCTCCTTTGAAACAACGACGACCCCAAAGTTAAACTTAGAACATATTGAATTGTCCTTCGAATCGAAACGCAAAAAAAAAAAATCCGCTCGAACAGTCGCACAAAGCGAATGATTCGAATGAAATAGAGTTCCAACTCGTTCTCCTTCTCCCGCGGGCGACCGTGAAGTGACCGAGCCAGAGTCTGGTAACGGCCCGCTATTTTTTCGGGCCCGGTAAGTACCGGGAAAGTTTACGGGTGCTTCGAGAAACGCAACTTCGGGCCCGATAAAGCTTCCCGATAAATGACCCGGTAAGTTAACGGGCCCGTAAATTACCGGGACTTTCGAGAAACGGGCCCCAGGACCCCCTCGCGTTTAGTCCCCCGGCGGAAGAAGTAGGGATATTGCACTTAAACATTTCAACATGTTCAAAGTACAAGCTTGCGATCAAACTTGCGATAAAATAAACTCAATTTGCTCCCATAAATGTCTACTTGCCCCTTCGTCTCACTTCGCCTCTATTTTCGTACTTGGGCAATAGTCGACAACACGTGACATGTAGTCATCCGGGGTACTGTTTTGCCCTTTTTTTGTTGCATTGTGGGTAACTTCGTCGTGCTGTCGTGAAACAAAATGGCTACTTTAGCTAAAGCACCGACTACACATGAAGGTAAATATCTTCTTCTAGTTAAATATGGCATTATTTCATATTGTGTTCACACTCCTTAACAACTATGTCTCTTTTTCATTAGAAATTGAAAGACAAATTCAGCAGATTCAAGCCCAGAGGTCAAATTTACCGAAAGTTGACATCGGCGAAAAGGTATGCTAGATCATCAACTTTTAACGCTTTGCATTTTCCTTTTAACTTTGTAAGCGTCTGCGTCAATTTTAACCGAAGTAAATCATTTAACGTATTACTGTTTCATTTTAATCCTATTTAGAAGCGAAAAAGTGTGCTGTAATCTGTAGATTATGCCATTTTATCGTAAATAAAGGTACGACAAAGTGGACTGAGCTTATGAAATTATCGACTGTGTTTCTTTGCAGGTTGGTTTAGCATCTGTTGGTGAAGGAGGCTACGATGTGGAGATTTATGGCTCGGGTGGGAACAGGTAAAATATTTTTGAAGGAAGTTATTTATCGACCAGTCAGGCAAAAGTGTAGATTTTTTTTATACATTTACTCAAACAAGAGAGAAATTAGCTATGGATTTGCTCTTTTTGTAATTTGTTTACCCACAAAGCACTCGGAGTCCTTAAGAACTTGTTTAAAAGTGTCTGTGTGTTTCAGATTGATTTGGAATGTAGAAGTGTTGTTTTTTTGTGGAGCGGGAAAACTGGAATACCTGGAGAAAAACCTTCCAGAGCAAAGAAGGGAATGAACAACTAACCCAACTCACATGTAATGCGGATGCCCGAACTCGAACCTCGGTTGCAATGTTGGGAGGCAAGTACCCTCACCAATGTACCTCTGCCATCCTTGCACCCCAGTTAGTTATGGATATGTTTGTGAAGAAACTCTAGGACTACATGTTGGTGAGGTAACTGCTCAAGTCATCCGAAAGTCACCTTTAGAGAAACTACAACCTGCACTACTTGCTTGGTTTACTTCTTATTTGATTCATTCAAATGCTTTGGTTGTCTACTGTTGAGCCTTGGGCGTCAGCAATCAAAATAGTGCACTAAGTTGGTGTAAGCGATATTATATTGCAGCAAATCTAGTCCCTGCAACCCTGAAGAGTTGTATTAAGTAATGTTAATTGAAAATATTATTATACTCTTTTGTTTCTTCCACTTTAGATTTGAGGGTTATTCCACAGACATTGCTCCAAATGAGCAAGAAGAGGTTAGTCCTGGTTTTTATTTTTGATCTTCCAACCTTTTTGTCAGCGTTGCTAACATATAAGTAAACACCAAAATTATCGCTACAAAACAATCTCATACAGTGGTCATAATTTAGATTTTACATCCTCCTGCTTGTATTTCACTTGCCCCCTCGCCCTCCCCCTCCCTGGTGAGGGGCTAATCCTTGGGGAATTCTTCTTTGGGGTTTACTGCCCAGTTCTCCAAATCCTGACCCAATTTCAGACCAAAACATCCAATCTTCTACACCTGTTTTCACACCTGGCCTCTGAGAATAAATTATTGTACTTGGTTTGCCACTCCATTACCTTGCCCAAGTGAAGTCAACATAGTGTGTATTTATTAGTATCAGGCAGTTTTTTCACACTGAATGTTCTACATTATATACACACATATATATATATATATGCCCTTGTGGTCTGCTGAAAAAAAAACATTCCTGATTTTAGAGCGCAATGGTTGAATCTATACTGTCTTGTTTTTAGCCCAAAGGCAGGGCTCAAAATATTGGCCGGTCAACAGACACTGTCTGGTCAGAGTGGCCTCTTGACCGGCCAGAAGCTCCACTCACTGGTCATGTTGACCAGTCATGCAGACTCTTATTCCTGAACAATCAGCCAAATCCTCACATGTAAATCTTAGATTTTGCTTCCTTGTAAAAGTACAGTCATGTTTATGAATAAATAATGACACAAGGATTAGTTCACTTTTTTCTTATTTTTTGACCAGTCAGAAATAAGACTTGACCGAGCAAAAATTTCTGCCCACCGTCCAAAAATTATTTTGAGGCCTGAAAGAACTCTAAATCCACATCCTTTGGGCTGGTAGATCCCTTTTATAGGGGAGTCGCCCTCCTCCCTCTCCCTTCCCCTTACCTACCACCTGGTGCCAAATCAGGTGGATAGTTTTATGTTTTCCTTTAACCTGTTTCTCTCATGGCATTTTGTTCAGGATGACGATGATTACTCAACAACAATTATGCACCAGTCACGGAACAGCTACACTGCTCCTGCTGCACTATTAAATGAGATTGCTCATACAGCAGAACATGTATGTATACATTGTACCTTTATAATATCATGTTGGTGTATGTGGTTTCTATTAGACAAGGTACAGTTGTATTATAAGCACTTGCCTTTTAATGGCAAGCATTCTGAAAATAAGGTTCAATTCAAATGACAACACTTTTGGAGTATTTGTAATAATACTCTTGTCAGAACATAAGTGAAACTGATCATCATTATATTAATTTTTGCAGCTATATTGTAACTGAATTACCACTGAGATAACCACATGTTATATCAAAATTTCAGTACTGTTAATTTATTATCTCAGGTAATTTTTATTGTTCTTTTGTTTCAACTTCATTTACATATACTACCATACCCAAAAACAAAAGAAAAACAAAAATTACATGAGGTAAAAGCTTTATAAAGAGCCTTCAACGTTTCATTTGTTTCCATGCAATTCTTCGAGTGTTCCATTGCAATGTAAATTAGGTTTAATTTGATGAGGCTTGATGAAGTGAATATGATTTTTTATCTTATCAGGTGGACCCTTTTGCTCAGCACAGACAACCAACAATCGCTGAGCGGGAAGATGCATATAGAGCCAGACGGAGGCAAATGATCATATCACCACCAAGGCATGATCCCTTTCAAGATGGTAGGTGTAGATAAATTAACCTTTTTTACTTTGTATTGTTATTATGGTCAGAAATTAAAGTCTGATACTTAACTCTTAAGAACCACAGGCTTAACTCTAACTTGGTAGCAAAGAAATATTTTTAGAGTAGCCATGACAAGGTATTAGTTTTGTCTTGTTAGTTTTAGTTGTGATTGTATCTAGAAAGAGATTTGCAAAACAAAAGTGTGAACAATGCATTAAATACTTTAAGGTTGAGGGAGAGATAGTCTGGTACAGTGGAACCTCCTTTTAATTGAAACCCTTTTTTAAAATGAGTGACATTTTTCTTCCTTAAGATCATTTTGTCAGTTGAAAATGTTTTTTAACCTGACTAGTAATGTACTATGATGCTCAAAATTATCCCAGGTTTCATATTTACACTGTTCGTTTTCTCTCTGAGTTGAAAGATTTGTAGCACCAAGTGACTCTCGATTAATTTCATTTTCTTTCTTTGTCTTACAAGCAACTTGGCAAATTGGATTGAGATAAATGCAGTTTATCAGTTGTTTAACCGTTTTCAGCCCGATGTTGCAATATATTCTAATAACTCATGAGTGGAGTTCCACTGTACCTTTTTTTCAGTAATCATGGATAATTGCCTCTTTATGACCCAGTTTTGTTTTAATTGAGAACCCTATAAAGGATTCTTTCAGTCCAGCAAAACTATAGTTAGAAAGTATGTACTAATGGAAGTAGCTCTACTTTGCCAAAATGTGTCATCTTGCTGGTGTAAATAGGGACCTTAAGCAACTACGACGATGACGGCAGTGAAAAGATCACTAAAACATTGAATTTGCGTCTGTTCAAACTTTATCGGGTCTCTTTGGAACCGCTCAATTTGTCAAATGTAAGCAACATTTCCTGGAGTTGAAATCTTAAGGGCTTTATCCATGTTGAAATAGAGAAAGGAAAATTTGTTGTCGTGTGTCCATGTCCTCCATTTAATGTCGCATTGGAGAGGTTCCACGTCGTAGTCGTGCAGTAGACGTCAAAGAAATGTACTAAAAAGCATGATTCATGTGTGGAGCTGTTGTTTTGGTCATAAAACCAATTGTTTTTTATGTTGTTTTTGTTGTCGTTGTCATAGTTGCCTAAGGTCCCTAGTAACTTTGTAGTTCCAGCTACACATATTATTTTTAAATGGCCACATTATTATGGTAGGCATTTGTCATGAGCTATACGTGCAGACACTATAGTTATAATAATTGTTACAGTCCAAAAATTGTTTACAGGTTAAAAGTTTTTTTTGTTCTTAATTATCCTTCAACAAATCCACCAAGCAAGTACGACATATAGATGACATAAACACTGCCAAACGTTAGGTAGAATTTTCTACGGCATTTCCTTCACAGGGGCGAATCTTTAAATATGCTTCCTGCTGTCAACTGTCGATTCTGGTTTGTTTTGCTTTAGTCTCCCTTTTTAAGCAAACACCCTTCTCAGGTCCTTGCCTGGATTTCAAGCTATGTTCCACATTGTCTGGAACACAACTTTCCATCTTCCTTACCCCTGAAACTTGTCTTGATAGTGTTGGTCTAAAAAAGGTTACTGTTTAAAGTGGACTCCCATTATTTCTTATTTCCTGGCGTCAGACAAGAATTGAGGCAATAGTGTTTAATATGAGGCCTTTGTAGTTCTAATATCATTCTGTTAAAGTTTGCACCAATTCAGTAATTATTGCATTTGAAATCCAAATTTCTATTGTCATGGTTTAAACCACTAGTTGACCTTCTAATGAATGGTTACTGAAATAATTGTGGGCAAAAATTGTGTAATAAATTTTTCAACTGAATGTACTGCTTTTAGTTAACAGAACTTTTAAAATATAGTAGTGGTAAAATTGTGTTGTTATGTTAATGTGTCTTGGTGCCTGTCATCTGGTCCAAGATAACAAGAAGTGAACCATTTCCTGGTGTTGAAATAGTGGGAATCCACTGTACTATAGTTTTGTTGGACTGCTTTTACCCTTTTATATAAAGTAATATAAGAACTGTTGACTTCATTATACTTACTCCTCAACCCCTTTTTTCCATTCAGCGGTGAGTACTGGATTCTACACTCATCATCTGCACAAAATAATTGCAAGAGTAAATGACTTATAGTGTTGGTTATTTACAAAAACTTTGTCTCAAGTATGGGTATAAATGGACGGAATGCCTTGTGCGATGATCTGGACCAAACGGCATCCAATACTTACGTTAATATTAAAATAAGAGTTCTAAAATAGTCGTAAGTTATGTTAGAAGTAGAAGGTTTAACTACCTGAAATACAAATTTTCACCCAAAAGGAAAAAGATGTTTCTCATTAAGTAAGAAAAGTGTTTGGTTTTTGATGAATGGAGTTTCTCTAAAATGACAGTCATTGTTGGATATTTCCTCACAACAAACGTTGGTCAAATTTTTTTTGTTCATTTAAACTATGAGTTTTATTTTTTCTGTGGATATTGAACAATGTGTATTCCCTGTCCCATTTGAAGTCCTCTTGCAAAGTACATACTGTCTGTAATAAACGCGAAACAGAAACTATTTAAGTAAAGATTTCAAACCCTTGTGTGAGGCAGTTGAAAGTTTTACAGTGGCTGAATTTATGCTAGAGACAGATTGTCTGTCTAAACGAATTATCCATCAGACAACTTATTTGTCCAGGCATAAATTCGAGAGAGAAATTTACATGGCTCTTCAGTTTAAGTAGCGGACTGGACAGAAAAAAAAACAAAATGGTGGTGTTCATAGCCCTTTTAAGGAATTGGTTGAGAACAGTGCAAGGACGGAAGAGTATTTCAGCTGAATAGTTGTCTAGCAGAAAGTATGAATGAATTGGCAACAGTGAACATCACTTTACATGCTGAGACAATGAATTGATGAATGGTGGGATAAGGGTTTAACTAGTTGGTGTGAGGTCATGATTTGAAACGGAGAAAAATGCTTAGAAACCTTTTGAAGAAATAGGAACTAGGCCTTCTCAAGTCAAAATTTAGGTCAAATCCATCTATTTTTTGTTTTCCAGATATAAAGTTAGAGACAGATTATCTGTCTCAGGCTAATTATTTGTCTGACAGCGTGGCTGTAAGATCTACTGAAAGACAAAGGACAAGGGAAGATGAATTTTGGCTCAAGATTAATCTAAACACCAGTTTTATATCTAGACGAATTATGCGTCTGAGATAGAGAATTTGTCTTTGACGGATAATTTGTCTCTGGTGTAAATTCGGCCAATATAACTAATAATAAAGAATAACCAGTCCAGTACTGATACTACACAGTGGTCGATTACTGACCTCTGAAGAATTATTTATTAGGAGACGAGCCAGGCTAAGATGTCAGTGAGTGGTACGACTCATCGCAAGATTCCTACCCACTGGGTTGGTGTTACAATGCCGCAGCGACTGTTCCACATGATAATTTAGCTCTTGTTATTGTCTTTTTGTGTGTTTTACTCCACTGTCACTAGCAACTTAGGACAAGAGGTTAAGCCTGCTGGTCTTGATGACTCACAGTTAACAGTTACAAATGAACTGTGTTTGTAGAGTCTGAGGGACTGGCAGGCGTTCATTATGGACAGTGTGCAAGTTTTTTTTAATCTACCACAGAACGTTCCTACCATACATTTTTTGTTTCACACATTTTCTAGTAAGCAAAATAATTGTGTATAATTAATGTTTTCTTTGTGATGGAGCTTGCAAATGATTAATATGGCTTTCTTTTTTTCTCTTTTTTAATTTTTTTGTAGGTGGCAAAACACCTGATCCAGTCATGTTGAAAAATATGAGGACCTATAAGGACATTGTTGAAGAGCAGGTTCTTCAAAGAGATCAGGTTTGGACATACATCTTTTACAATCCCCTATTGTCTCCCAAAATACCATAATTTAACCATGTAGGACTACCATCCTTGTTTACTTCCTGATCTGCACACTATTTACATTGAGATGACTTGTACAGGACAATAAATCTTCTAAGGCTGGTCCAGGCAAGGGCAAATCTGTGAATTTTAATGCAGACAATAGGAGGATGACAACACCAAACAGTTGCTTAAACAATTTCAAGCAAAATTGGCATACCGTAAAATTCCGAAAATAAGCCCCTCCATGTATAAGCCCCTCCAAATATAAGCCCCCCAAACCAGTAACGCAAAAAACCCTCCGTTAAATCGCCCCTCCAAATATAAGCCCCCAGGGGCTTGTACTTGGAAAATTGCCCTCAAATACAAAGTAAAACAAAGCAAAAACGGTAAATTACTTCTAACTGTAAGGCTAGCCCAGTCGATTTTGAAACGCAAATTTCCCTCCGTAGATAAGCCCCTCCAAAAAAAAGCCCCTCAAAAAGGGCCTTTGAAAAATATAAGTCCCTGGGCTTATTTTCGGAATTTTACCTTACTTACCTAGTGCTGCTTTTTTTCTAAGCCTTTCGTGTTCTAATTGGGCATTTACTATAATCTTTCCTATAGGAGTAAGAAGTAATTGGGTTAGATATGTCTGCTTTACAAGTATAGACATCGTCATTTTAACAAACTACCGGTACTTGTTTATTTCAGGCAGAAATTGTCCGTCATCTCAGGGACCAGGCAGCATCTGGAGACTTGCAGAAAAATCAGTCAGCTGCTGCTTCCAAGCCAGGTACTGTTCAGTTGAAAAATGTACATGTTTGAGTTACAAAAGTATGTTGGAGTTTTTAGACAACAAAATAAAAGTACAAGTCTTGGTAAAAATTCTAACACTGCACAAGGAACATTTTTTTGTTGTTTTCTACTTCTTAAGTTGTTATAATACTTGTGATGTTGTACAAATATAGATTTTATAGTTTTCCTTTTTGTTAAACACACTTGCGAGTAAGGTGCATCCTACGTGTATATAAATGCTCCTGAAAGGCTGTGCCTTGGAAGTACCCAGTAGCCCCTTATGTCTCACTTTTGTTGGGCAATTGCAAGTAGAAAAGCCCTTTTTTTCCAAAAAAATCATTATATCGTAGACATCTGTAGATCTGGGCAAAGGTAAAAACCAGTTATGACAACCAAAAGTGTATTCATGTTTCAGAGAGGAAACGACGCCGGTGGGATCAGCAGGCATCTGGAGATGAAACACCAGCAAAGAAAAAATCCAGCAGTTGGGATCAAGCTGAGGTAGAAATTATGGTGCTTCTTAGAACCATTTTGTAAATTATTTGTGTATAATCAAGAAAACCACATTGTTTCTTATGGTCAAATAAGAGCAGTTTCAATACTAGTGGAAATACTCCAGTAACAACATTAAAAGCTTTTCTTTGCTGAAGAAGATCTTGTGATGAGAGTGAAGCTCCAGTGCCTTAGCCTTTCTCGGCAAAAACAGTTAACCCAATAATTAAGAATTAATAAGAAACTGGAAACAGGAGTGAACTTTGTTACAGCAAGAAGCAAATAGGGGGAACATGAGCAAGTTCAGTGACAATTTTATACAGTTGTCTGACAAGAATTCGACAATTAGACTAAGTAACACTGTTTATCTTTTTTTGCTGGCATCTAGATGTCAACCCCTTCAGCAAGTCGATGGGATGAGACTCCTGGACGGGCCAAAGGATCTGAGACTCCTGGTGTGACCCCTCACAGACCTGGTTCAGAAACCCCGGGGGCCACACCCAGCACCAGGATATGGGAGGCAACACCCAGTCATGTCACACCAGGCCATGCTACACCCAGTGCTACACCAGGAAATACTACACCAGGTAAATCCTTGATAAATTTGCTGCGAGAGCAGTAATGCTTAGGGTGTGTTCGTTTAACAGTATTCCAGAATAAGAATGAATAGAATAGACTCTAGGGATCTTTCGGTCAAGCATTACAAATTTTAACCTACCATTCATTTGTTGGCTGACATGAAAATGAAGAAGTTCATGAAATGAGAAAAAGCATTTGTCCTAGAAATTGAAATCACATTCATGCATGTCGTAGTTACATTATTGATAATAATTATAGCTGCTGCATTCAAGTGGTTCGAAAATCCCAGGAAAAGAGTTTTGTTAGAAATTTTTGGTGTGTTCTTATTGTGGAATACAGACGATCAAATTCACCCTTAGGGTTTCTGAAATATGAGATTGCAACGTTTTATTTCATTTTAACCATCAATTACTTGATATCACTGAGATGTTTATTTATCCACTTTGGACAACTTCCTGTAGACCCCTCTGCTGAAAGGCTGCTGCTTGTCAGATCCGTTTTTTTCACTTATCCTCACTTAGTGATTGTCATTGATGGGTCACATTAGCAGCGTGCAAAGAAAGTAGTGTCCGATAGCCCGGGGCTAGTGAATTTTGCTATTAGGCAAGTGAAATCTGTTTTTAACTTGCCCGACGGGCAAGTGATGTTCTTTGAGGAATTCGAATAACAGAAGAAGTGTGAAATCAATTCTGCTCGATGAAAAGCTTTTGGGGCTAGTTGAAATGACATCTGGGCTAGTAAATGCTAGCTTCAGCTTGCCCGAATGGCAAGCTGTAAAAATGATTTTCTTTGCACCCTGCATTAGTGAGAAAAAATGTGTAGAAGCTAAAGACTGTAAACTTCAAAAGCAGGTTGTCGGTCATAACAACAGGGTCTAGTGTCGATGAGATAATGACCGTACTTTTTTTCAGGCTAAAATGGTGGTTGTAACCTTACGGTGATTGTGTGGGTTTCATCTGTAGATAAGATAATAACATAGCACATTACGTTATTTACAAAATATAAGTACCATGTATTTGTATGATGTATTTTCTTTTCCTACACTCAGGTATTTCATCAACCAGGAGGAATCGCTGGGATGAGACCCCAAAGACAGAGAGAGGTTTGTTTTCTCCAGTATGTCATGAAAAAATTGATAGCTTCTCTTTTTTTAAGTTGAAGTAATCGATTGATATGGATTGGATTTTAATTTTCATCAGCTTGTTGGCCCTTAATGACAAACTAATGCCCTTTTTTAACACAGGTGAGACCCCAGGTCACACAACTCCAGGCCATGCCACCCCAGGCTGGGCCGAGACCCCAAGAACGGATCGCACTGGAGCTGAAACACCTGGTGCCACACCCACTCCAGGTAGTAAGCGAAGGTCCAGATGGGATGAAACACCAGCCAGTCAAATGGGTGGTACCACCCCCATGATTGGCACAAGTGGGGTCACTCCCGCTGGAGCTGCTGCTATGCAGATGCAGACGCCTACCCCAGGACAAATGGCCATGACACCAGAACAGATGCAAGCATATCGCTGGGAAAGGGAAATTGATGAACGCAACAGATACCTCTCTGATGAGGAACTTGATTCACTTTTCCCCAAGGAGGGATATAAGGTTCTATTTATCTTTCTTTTTTCACATTAAAAGCTGCTGTATCTGATGTAAGGAAGGGTTTGACCATGCACTTTATTTTCTGAATCTCCTTAGAAAGTTTATTTTTGCANCTTTTTTAACACAGGTGAGACCCCAGGTCACACAACTCCAGGCCATGCCACCCCAGGCTGGGCCGAGACCCCAAGAACGGATCGCACTGGAGCTGAAACACCTGGTGCCACACCCACTCCAGGTAGTAAGCGAAGGTCCAGATGGGATGAAACACCAGCCAGTCAAATGGGTGGTACCACCCCCATGATTGGCACAAGTGGGGTCACTCCCGCTGGAGCTGCTGCTATGCAGATGCAGACGCCTACCCCAGGACAAATGGCCATGACACCAGAACAGATGCAAGCATATCGCTGGGAAAGGGAAATTGATGAACGCAACAGATACCTCTCTGATGAGGAACTTGATTCACTTTTCCCCAAGGAGGGATATAAGGTTCTATTTATCTTTCTTTTTTCACATTAAAAGCTGCTGTATCTGATGTAAGGAAGGGTTTGACCATGCACTTTATTTTCTGAATCTCCTTAGAAAGTTTATTTTTGCATACATTTTCCTGATTCTCCTAGCATAAGGTTTCACCGCTGGTCACTTATTTACAAGTCATTGTCAAATGTGGAGAAAAGACTTAAATGATAATAGCTGTAAGGCAGCCTCAGTGTTTTTACAGAGCCCATTTTGTAGGATGATTCTTGTGTAATGTTTTATTGATCAGAGTTATTATTCTGCCAATACTGCGGCAAATATTTTCATACTGAAGTTAACAAATGGTGCAAAGTATTCACTCATGTTCTAAGATTTTAAATAAAAAACATCTCACATTATTTTTCAATTCTCCGTCATGAGAAACCAAGCACACTTGGCATTTACATTTTCTAATGTGATGTTCTACTTTTAGATTCTTGAGCCACCACCAGGTTATCAGCCAATCAGAACGCCAACACGTAAGCTGACAGCCACACCCACTCCTATAGGAGGCTCTGGGTTCTACATCCAGGTAAAACAAATTTTCTTAACTCTATTCCTTCTCTCAATAATCACTTTAATATTTGACCATGTTATTTATTTTAATTGCAGCAAGAAGACAGATCAGCCAAACTGGTTGAAGACCAGCCTCCTGGTAATCTGCCATACTTGAAGCCTGATGATGTGCAGTACTTTGACAAACTGTTGGTAAGTTCAAAATCCTTTGAAGCTCTAAATTGTAAAACTGTCCCAAGGATTGTCTTATTACTATATGCAGTTTTCACTGTAGCATAGCATCATTTAAACTGAAAAATTAAAGCCATTTTCTTCATTAGAGGATGACATGAATATGATAAGGGATTATTGCCAAAGCTCCAACTGTGCAATGAAAAAATGTCTTCAAAAGATTCTGTACATTAGACAACTAACAATTTCAGTTGTATTGGTAATCTTTTTTGGAATATATGTATGTCATATATGTTCCACGATTCAGTTGGATTGGTAATATTATTTTTATTTTGGAATATAGGTGCATTCCATGTAAACCCAGGGCTGTCTTTAAAAGCCGGGGGCCGGGGATTTGCCCCGGCTCCTATGAATGTGGCTCCTGGTTGCCTTCATTGGAAAATGGAAGAAAAATAGAACCACAAGATATCTCTAGCCGTTTGATTCCCTGCCTACTTTTTATATTTACCAGGAAACTTGAAATCTTAGTGACAACCCTGAAACCATTAGCTTGGTTTACTTTAATTTCTTGTGTGTGAATTCACAGGTGGATGTGGATGAGAGCACTTTAAGTGCAGAGGAACTTAAGGAGAGAAAGATCATGAAGCTGTTGTTGAAAATCAAGAATGGTACTCCACCCATGAGAAAGGCAGCCCTGCGGCAGATTACTGATAAGGCTCGTGAGTTTGGTGCTGGGCCTTTGTTTAACCAAATCCTTCCTCTGTTGATGTCACCTACATTGGAAGATCAAGTGAGTCATCTGAGTAGCATAAATTATGTCAAGTTGTATTTTAATTTGCCTCATTTTTTTTGTTTAAATTGTGATGGTACACTGTATGCCCATTGGTGGACAACATTGGTCCTATGAATAACAGTTACTGTGCTTTCTTCTGTTACGTTCCTAAATAATGCAAAATCATTTTTAGGCAGAAGTTTATCTTGTTCATGTCATTGGTCTCTAATTCAATTATTGTCATACTTTTGTATTAATTTTATGGTAATGTTCAATATTCTCTTTTGTAGGAGCGTCACTTGTTGGTAAAAGTCATTGACCGAATTTTGTACAAGCTTGACGATCTTGTCCGGCCATTTGTTCACAAGGTAAGCTGCTAGTTAACAAAAACAAAATCTCAAATATTATTAAGTAAACGTGTATGGTTATCAGTAATTTTCAGCTTGGCTCAAAGTTTGTTTGGTTTTACTGAAGTCTGATCTAATCACACTCACATGGTCTCTGCAATGTTATGTACTTCTTCATTCTTGTACAAATTGTTAGGTAGATATATAATACAATTTTATTAATGAAATGGCCTCTTTTCAGATCCTTGTGGTTATTGAACCTCTGTTGATTGATGAAGACTACTATGCAAGAGTGGAGGGGCGTGAAATCATTTCCAACTTGGCCAAGGTTAGTGTTTGCTTGCCCTGATTCAGTGCTGACATAACAAACAAGTGTTAAAATGAACCATTGGCCTATAATATTGCACTGTAATAATTTTTCTTGTGTACAGACACTACATTTTAAAAGACTAATCCTGATTATTAGTCCTAGGAGGGTTAAGGTCATCATCAGTCTAAACACTCAGTGATATTAAACTTCTGTTGATAAACTTTACACACCAGTTTTCATTGTCATTCAAAGACGTCAAAAGTGCTCATTATTTTACTTTCCCAGATGATCCCATTCAACTGACATATATGAACTGTGTACCATAGTCCCTATTTCTTCAAATGTAGATATTGCTATCCACTAGATAAATCTCTTTCCAATAGTGCAATTTAAAATTTTGTTAATTCACATCCACTAGATTTTTTTGACGGATAGTGCCATCAAACTTTTTAACACCCTGAGCCAGGATTCAAACCATGTTATTTTATTGATTTGAAATCTGTGACTTCCTTTAGGCTGCTGGTTTGGCTACAATGATCTCCACCATGAGACCTGATATTGACAACATTGATGAGTATGTCCGTAACACCACTGCAAGGTACATTTTTTTGTTACTATTGCAAAATAGGCAGTTTTAAGTCACTCCAAGTTGCGACCATGTTGGTCACCATGGTGCCTAAACTTTTGGAGCTGGTGACTAGATTTGCAAAAAAGTCTCCCTGAACCAAAAGAGTTGCTTGCCAAATGGTGACCAAGCAAAAACTTGGAGGGTTGGTCAGTTGTATAGAACCTAATGTTAGGCTTAACAGCTAACATCTCGCAATATAATACAGTTTGACTGGTCTGCACACCAGATATTAGTTTTTACATCCACCTTAAAGATTTATGAAACTGTCACTTGAACATGTAGGTGAAAAAGGTTTCCTCCAAATTTTTTATGTAAATATTTGTCTACCTACAGCTGTACATATAGCATTTTCCTTTGAATAGACCAGTTTTCTAATAAATTTGCTTATCCAGCTTTTTCAAAAGTATCATCTGCCTAATCAAAATAATGTTAATTGCTGGGGTAAAATCAATTCTCTGGGTATCAGCCTAAAATTGTTTTTTATATCTGCCCTCCAACTCATCATTTTCTGTGCTGTTTTGTTTCTTACAGAGCCTTTGCTGTTGTAGCATCTGCTCTGGGTATTCCCTCCCTACTGCCTTTCTTAAAAGCTGTGTGTCGCAGTAAGAAGTCATGGCAAGCCCGTCACACAGGCATCAAAATTGTCCAGCAGATTGCTATTCTGATGGGTTGTGCTATCTTGCCACACTTGCGAAATCTAGTGGAGATTATTGAACATGGTAAGGCTATTGCATAATTAAAAACAATTTTTATAGTGGTTAAGTATCAATTTATGTCAAATGGCAAATGCAAATTTGTACCATATGACAAAGTTTTCCCTTTACTTGTCATTTACTGTTCATTATTTTTGGGCATAAATTAGTAGTTTCATGCAATTTTCTATCCATAAGAATAATTTATTGTTTTGAGCTGTTTTTTTTGCTCATTTTCTTTATTAAGAAATTCTCAACATGAATCTGATGTTCGCTGTTTGCCATATACGGGAAGCTTAAACTGTTTAATGGTTTACATGGGCTTGATGAGCCGTGGAATCTTTACAAACTCCCTTGAAATTTTATTACCCACATTTCTGATTGAAGTTGGTTACTCACATATGTAGGAGGGTAAGAAAGATCAAAACCTTTGTGTCGCATCATTTTCCCATTCAAGATTACCATTAAGACAGTTGATCTTTAGAATTCAGAAATTTGTTTATATAATATTGGTGTTATGGTTTTTTTTTCCATGCTTACAGTGGTTTTGGGATCTCTTGCCAGTAATGATGGTGCTGCTCTTTCTACTAATCCTGTTACAGGCTGTGTCTTTAACAGATCATTCTGCAGAGAAGTAAATCTATTTATTCCTAACCATTGTTGTTTTTGTCTTCGTAGGCTTGGTTGATGAACAGCAGAAGGTGCGAACAATCACAGCTCTTGCCTTGGCAGCTCTTGCTGAAGCTGCCACACCTTACGGTATTGAGTCTTTTGACAGTGTCCTGAAGCCACTGTGGAAGGGTATCAGACAACACAGGGGAAAGGTGAGATTAAGGACTTATCCTGTTTTCTTGTGAGTAATGCCATAACTGTATGCTTTCAGCCATATATTCTCGTTCCTAATTCTCTTCCAAAATGATGATTTTGTTTGACTTTTGCAAGAGACCACCTCCCTTAAACAACCAGTAACTCTTCGCGTATTAGGTGCTAGCTTTTGGGAGGTTTGAGTGTATCTTTTAAGCTAGATAAAAAAAAAACTTTTAAATCTCAATAGTGCAACCTTTGGCCCCTTGAGCTTGCTGATTCATCCAGAAAATAAAGAATATATATATATGTATGAAAAAGCCATTGAAAAAGACCCTGCATCCTTTGATTTTGTGTAAGTCATCACTAGATATCCTGTGGTGGAAAGAGTACCTGGCCGTCTGTGACTACCACCTGGGCACTGCAGAAATAGTTCCATCCATTAAAATCCACGACATGAAAAAAATACAGTGTACTGTGAAAATGCGGGTTTTGAATGGTCTCATTGTAGAGTTTGTCTGCTGAGTGAAAGGAAAACTGAATGGAAACAAAAGAATCTTCTTAAGTGTTTGGGTTTGAATCTAACATGCTGCCTTTTGTTTATCAGGGTCTTGCTGCTTTTCTCAAAGCCATTGGGTACCTGATCCCTCTTATGGATGCCGAGTATGCCAACTACTACACCAGAGAAGTGATGTTGATCTTGATTCGTGAGTTTCAGAGTCCTGATGAAGAAATGAAGAAGATTGTGTTGAAGGTTAGTCTGAGCTAGCACCTTAAGAAGATCTCTGAAGATTATCATAATTATTTCAGTCATTGCTAGGAAAATCCATTTGTTATGTCTTGATTTAAATTTGACTGTTTTGTAGCGTGTTGTGTTTTTCTTTGTTAATACCTTGAAATAGATAATGGCTATCCAGAAATTAAAATGCTCCACAGTAGTCAAAGCAGATAAAAGAATGTATTACTCATTCGACAGGAATTTATAAATGTAGCCAATTATTGATTAGTTTGGTATTCCATTAAAATAAAATTCATGCTCACAAAATACATTCAGGTGTCATTGTCTTCTAGTAACAATAATTTCAGGGATCTCTCTAGGACATAATAAGAGATCATTATTTACAGCCCCTCTTTGGATCTTTGGATGTCAGACCACTCATGTACAAGTATTATTTGCTTTATTGATTGACAGGTGGTGAAGCAGTGTTGTGCTACAGATGGTGTTGAAGCTCAGTACATCAAAGATGAAATTTTACCAGATTTTTTCAAACATTTCTGGCAGCACAGGATGGCACTTGACAGAAGAAATTACAGACAGGTATGTACTATTTAATTTTGTGAAAATGGCTGTTGTATTTCTTTCCCACATCTGAAGCAAGGCTTTCAACTAAGGCAAGCATTCATGCTGATTCAAAAAACTATGGCGAAGAGGAATTTAAGTCATTGCAAATAACAATACAACTGTGAAAATGCTGCGTAGTGAAATGCTTGCTTTATTACTTGGTTTTGAATAGCATTGACTGCTCCAATAATTTTGTCTAGTTTATCTATTGCTTAAGAGTGCTAGTGAACAAAGGTAATTACTGAGTGTTAATGTTATTTTTGGCAGCTTGTTGATACAACAGTAGAACTGGCAAACAAAGTTGGAGCATCAGAGATCATCAACAGAATTGTGGACGACTTGAAAGATGAAAATGAACAGTACAGAAAAATGGTCATGGAAACCATTGAAAAGGTAACCATCCCTTTCCAAAATACAGCCTTCAATGTACATTGTCAATATTAGGTAGTCATTCAATTGAGGTGCCATCATTTTTTCCTCCCTGGAGGTAATCTGTTGATTATGATAAGTAAAATATTTTATACTTTCTAGTGACCTGACCTGTTTCTTGGCAATTGTATCTAAACATTTATGCCTTTTATTACAGACCATGGGTAACCTTGGCTCATCCGATGTCGACTCACGTCTAGAAGAACAGCTTATTGACGGGATCCTGTATGCCTTCCAGGAACAGACACAAGAGGTAACAGGTTCTCTTTTTTGGGGGCCAGCTCCCTGGTAGTTACATAAGAATTTTTCTTACCTGACATCAGCTGTGTCTAGTCTATGCCCCCTTTGGTGTATTTCCCAGTGCTCTTTGTGGGTCAAGGGCCAGATCAGACAAGGGGTTGGGCATAAACATATTGTTGACTTTTCAAGACCAAAAGTCAACATACGTATTGGAGACCCTAATATTGAGGTTTTTTGACATTTCCTGCAAACCGTGAATGTCAAGAAGTCACGTGACCAGGGCCTTGCCATCAGGTTTGTGGTTTGAGTTTCGTGTTTGTACGGCTAGATCATGCTCCAGAGGTAAGTGATTTATCTCAAGGTTTTTTGCACCCTAAGACATCGCAATCCCACGTTTGAAAAGAAATACGACTATATAGAACTCTTTTGCTTATTGATTATCGAATTCTATTAAAAAAACATAATTTTGAAGACAATTTCTCAGCTAAAATAGCAGGAAGTGGATGAATGAAAACAAACATGGCAGCCGCGAGCTACCACCAGCAAATCTTAAGTCCCAAATATGGACAGATGGATAACGTGAAACCATTAGCCGCAAACCTCAGTTGGTCGTTTGCAGTAAAATGACCAAACCTCGACCTTAAGGTCTCTATTCTCAAAACTGTGCTTTGTATCCTCTCTATAGTACTGAAGAGGAGAATTTGTTTATGAATCAAGACATAAGTCTCCAAGCCCTTTTCTATTGATTTTATGTTACGGCTGTCAATACTTCCGACTAGAAATCTAGAAATTTTAGTTATTTATTTGTTTATTGATGTGTGTTTGTACTCTCAGGATATTGTTATGCTTAATGGTTTTGGTACAGTGGTGAATGCACTGGGCAAGCGTGTGAAGCCATATTTACCACAGATCTGTGGTACCATTCTTTGGAGATTGAACAACAAGTCAGCTAAAGTCAGACAACAGGCTGCTGATCTCATCTCAAGGATTGCTCAGGTCATGATGACCTGTGGGGAGGTGAGTATCCAACTCTCACATACACAGTCGGTATCACTTTTCATAAGTGACCACCCTCCATAAGCAACCACTTCATAAATTTAACAAATCGACCACAATTTTCCATTGTCTACACTCTTATAGACCATAGAAATGACATCATAAAATGTTTAAAACTCAAGTGGAACCACTCGCCTGGTTCCCTGCAAAGTTTTGAATGTTTTGTGGCATCATTTCTATGATCTATAAGAGTGTAGACCATGGCAAATCGTGGCCGATTTGTTTTTTACAATAACATTTATTTTTAGTTTCCTGCTAAGTTTGTCAGAAAATCACTGCGCTAAGTGACATTTTTCTTGTCGTTTTTCGTATTTTTGCTCTACCTTGACAGCTTCAAGCACCAACTCACTGTCAGAAATTTCTCCCCATATGTTAAAACTTGGTACTTCTTTGTCCATGTTGAGGAGTAAAGTTATTTTTATGAAAAAACAAAAACAAAACCGGCACTGTGTGACATGTTACGTCATTTTCATGGTCTATACTCTTAGACCGTAGCTCTCGACCAATCAGCGGGCGAGGATTCACTCAGTTATCTTGAGCATTTGATCATTCATAATAGCTAACAAAAAAATTTTGTCTTATGTAGAAATATCAAGTGTTGCAATTTTACTAATATTCTGAATTGTTTTTACTATAAAAAGGAAAAATTGATGGGTCACTTGGGTGTGGTGTTGTATGAGTACCTTGGAGAAGAGTACCCTGAAGTGCTAGGAAGTATTCTGGGTGCACTGAAGGTAAGAAGCAATGGCAGTTATATTCATTGTGAGTGGTTTTCATTAAAAAACCTAATTTGATTGGGTTTGCAAGAATTAGTATTTGTTATTATTTCCTTAGCTTCATCTTACACTTGGACGGAGCATCTTTTCTGTTATTGAGGCAACTGAAAAGTGGCTAAGAAATCTCTGTCGTGTCTCACTATATTACAGATAGTTTCTTAGTGTCCAGATGTCAGGTGAAACAGTCTTCCATAACCCTCCCACACCCATTTTAAAAAAGGGTCGTTGAAAGCTCTTAAGATTACTGTTTTTTTGGCAAGAAGTAATATATCAAGCATGAGACCCAGATGAAACACTGAGAAGAGAGTTATAGGTACGAAGCACAGTGGAGTATTTTTGACGAACTTCGAGGTGTTTCATCTGGTGATGAATCACTATGTCAAATACTTGATATTACTTCTCAAGCAAAATGATTTGGCAAGGAGAAATTAAGGATGCAAAAATGAGCAGTTATTTTATCTGTTTTCCAAACACTCCCTAAACATTAATTTCCTTTGTATTTTCTTTATCAATTATTGATGAGTGTGAGAAGAAGTGTTGAAACCTTTGTGCAGTGAATGATGGAGCCATGGATTGCATTTTCACCTTTTGAAGCCTGTCATGTAACCATTTATATTAAACTCTTTGCATTGGCAGTGCTTTAACTGAGCATTTTTTTTCAGTATTTTAATAATTTTAATTCGAAATTTTTGTTGAATGTTGACTTAGCCCCTCGTGGGATTATAGAGGTTAAGTTGTTATCGTAATGTTAGTAATCAAATAATAAGCAAAAAGTAATTGTTTTTCTCATTTGTTTTCAGGCAATTGTTAATGTAATTGGAATGAACAAAATGACTCCACCCATCAAGGACTTGCTCCCGAGATTAACACCCATTCTGAAGAACAGGTAAAGTACTCATCCTTTCTGCTGTAAAATTGGTCTTACTAAAATAATCTTGTATGAAGAAGCCGGCCTCACTATCGTTTGGTGCGAAAAACCTCACACAGAGAAGTATCAGCCAAGTAACTATATGTTTCTTAGTATTTCACAAAACAGGGTTCGGTATTTTTTCAGTTGAATTTTTGCAACTTGAGAACTGATCCTTTGAAGCTTCTTTTTTTCAGGCACGAGAAGGTACAAGAGAACTGTATTGACCTTGTGGGTAGAATAGCTGACAGAGGAGCCGAACATGTTGGGGCTCGTGAATGGATGAGAATTTGCTTTGAGCTGCTGGAGCTGCTGAAGGCGCACAAGAAAGCAATCAGAAGAGCGACTGTGAACACGTTTGGGTACATTGCCAAAGCAATTGGGTATGTTACACTTGAATTATGTTCTTGTACAATAATACTGTTCAAAGCGTTTGTTGTTGATGCAGCGGAAGCTCTTCTAACGGACACTCTCGTAAGCGGACAGCTCTACTTACGACCGCCTTCACAAAACCCCGTTGAAAAAAAAAAAAAAATTGTAAATTGTAATTTGTTTACCCACGGATCACTAAGGAGTTCATAAGAACTCGTTGAGACGTGTCCGTGCGTTCCAGATCGAATTGGAATTTGGAAGTGTTGGTTTTTAAGGAGAAGGGAAAACCGGAGTACCCGGAGAAAAACCTCTCGGAGCAAAGGAGAGAACCAACAACAAACTCAACCCACATATGGCGTCGACGCCAGGATTCGAACCCGGGCCACATTGGTGGGAGGCGAGTGCTCTCACCACTGCGCCACCCTTGCTCCCCTTAACTCCGTAGTTTTACGTTCCGGTAAGCGTCAGCTCCAAACGGTATGGACACGTTTTTCGCGTTCCGACGGTGTCCTCTTACGAGAGCTTCCACTGTATTTTAGTCTTTTACCAGTGGGCAAAAGCCCAAATTGATAATCTTCCGTCTACTTGAACTACGAAGCAAGTCATAGGGAACCATTTGTTCGTATCATATTATGCCGGGTTGACTTGCTTAGCAGAAAATGAGACACCAACAATGGATAAACAGTCTGCACATGCTATAAAGCAAAAGAGCTAATTTAAAGAGTTTTTTCGCTGGACTTATCCACATACAAATTCTCTACGCTGGTCTCTATACATTTTCATGAAGAATAAGTTGAGAGAATTTGATAAAAGATCAAGCATTTTGTCTTACGTGATTATTTAATTAATTCCCGCAACCTTTTCTCTTGAATGTGTCTTGATATTGTTTATCACTCTTGCGATTTGAAGAATTAATTCAATACAACTTGTTGTAATACGACCACCTAATGGCATATCAATGTTTGTACTGTTAAGTCCCCAGGATGTGCTTGCGACTCTACTCAACAATCTAAAAGTACAAGAGCGTCAAAACAGAGTGTGTACCACTGTTGCCATAGCCATTGTTGCAGAGACTTGTTCACCCTTCACCGTGCTACCTGCTCTGATGAATGAGTATCGTGTGCCAGAGTTGAATGTACAGAACGGTGTGCTGAAGTCCCTGTCTTTCTTGTTCGAGTACATTGGAGAAATGGGTAAAGATTACATCTATGCTGTTACGCCTTTGTTGGAGGACGCACTTATGGACAGGTATGAGTTTTGTAATCGCGTGAGTGACCGATGAGGCCCGTTGCGTTACTTTCTTCAGCCAAGACCGATGTTATAAATAGGTAAAGACACAGAAGCATATAACCCTGGTAAAGATTCCATCTATGCTGTCACGCCTTTGATGAAGGGCGTTCTTATGGACAGGCTAATAAGGGTTGTTGTGTCACGTACTCGCTTTATCCGAGACTGATGTTAGTTATACAGAAAGGAGTGCGATGTCTTGCGCACATCTTAGCCTCCTGAGCATGCGTTTCTGATCTAATTTTTGCCCCATAGATTTTTAGCGAGAGCAAAATTTTTTTTCTTGTGTCCCAACTTTCTCGACGAACTCGCGCGGAAACGCTTGTTACGCAGGCTATGCGGATCCAAAAACAAAATACAGTGGAACGTCGATGTAACGAACGGAAGGGCCGTGGGACTGGCAGGATATGTTCGCTACAACGAGGTTTCGTTATATCGAGGTTCTTTTCCACATTTTTTAGCATTACTGGATCGTTGATTATCGTTCGTCTCACCAAGGACCTCGTTATTTAGAGGTTCGTTATGACAGAACGGCAAGTCTTGTCCAGTCCTTTCCGCGCGCTTTTGCGCTCTCATTTGACGCTACGACATCGTCTTCTCTTAATCTACACAATACTACCAACTTGAAAGTGTTTCAATTTGACTAAGTACAGGCAAACCCCGCTAATACGGGCACTGAGGGGGCCATAGAAAGTGTCCGTATTAACAGGGTGTTCGTATTAAGCGGGTTGAATTTAGAGAAAAGGTAATTGCCTTCTTTCTCCAGGGACAAAGAAAACTGTCCGTAGTAAAGAAGTGTCCTTATAAAGCGGTTGTCCTTTAAGCTGGGTTTGACTGTAGCAATTAATAATTTGTATGACTGAGACATTTTGACTACGATTTGCTAACCAAGCGTGTACGTTGTTATCTCCTGCAGGGATTTAGTTCATCGACAGACCGCCTGTGCAGCTATAAAACACATGGCCCTGGGTGTGTCAGGCTTCGGCTGTGAAGATGCACTCACTCACCTCATCAACTATGTGTGGCCCAACATCTTTGAAACGTCGCCTCATGTTATCAACGCTGTTATGGAGTCTATTGAAGGCATGAGAGTAGCATTAGGACCATCCAGAGTTCTCCACTACTGTTTACAGGTTAGTTATTGGAGACTTTCACCATCAGGATTTTCACGGTTAACGGCAAACCTGAGTATTCAGTTCAACACGAACTGTCTGTACTGAAATCAGTGTTTTTTTTTTTTACGATTTTAGGGAATGTTTCACCCGGCGCGAAAAGTTCGAGATGTCTACTGGAAGATCTACAACAGCTTATACATTGGATCTCAGGTAAAACTCCTAAAGAGTTTAACAATGCTCCCAAATATTGTGATTTTACAGCTGAATTCAATATTTTACACTCTTCCTTTAGAGTTCACATCATTGGAAAACGTATTTACACTTATCGTTTAGCTTTTGAACTCAACTTTTTTATTTGACCTTGTTCGCTGTACATTTTCAACTCGACAAAAAATTTTTTTACAGTGCTAGTTTTTATTACGTACGCCATACTTGCTCGCAGGCTATCCCCGCCGCTATGGACGTTTTAGCTGTGTAGTTACAATTCTTTTATTAACCATCATTTTATTTTTGGTCTTGTAGGATTCGCTTGTAGCAGCATACCCGACTGCACCCAGTGATGAGAAGAACAACTTCGCTCGAGCAGAACTCTCGTATTTCTTGTGATCTCTTTTCTTGGCTTGTCAATATTCTGTTCAGTAATTTATTCTTTGTAACCAGTGGCGAAAACGTGGTATTTTGTAAATAGAAAGACAAAAACTGTTTAAGTAACTGATATAGTTTTACAACACTCAGGTTTGTGGCTTCGAAGTTAACGCTTCTCCCAATGGCTCTTCGGAATTAGCTGCTCAGTTAGTAACAGTTGCTGACAAGTTATTTTTCAATCAGTCGGCTCGTAGACATAATAATTCAAACTCTATTTAATTTTTTCATGCATCCACCATTTGTAATAGACCTATTCGGCTAACTCAATGTTGTACCCAATTCAAACCCTTTGGGAATAAAACGTTTTGTTTCAGGAATTTCCATATCATTTAAATGTGAATGCCACATTGTAATGCAAATACAATACACAAAGAATCTTATCCCCGGGAGATTTGAATTGGGTACAACATTGAGTTAGCCGAATAGGTCTATTTGGAAATGCTCTTCGCAGCCAGGTTGTCATTTCTTTTGGGTTGGTCTCCGCCGTTCTTAGGTTTGTTCAACCCTTTAAACCCTAATATCAAAATTGAGATTCTCATTTACTGTCCCTATACTTTTTCAAAAGAAGTAGTGGGGAGAGTTTGTTGAAATAACAATTAGACTCATCTGCCATAATCATGTGCTCAATTCTCATGCCCACTCTGTTTTCTAACTGAAAGCATTGATATTATAAGGAGAAATTTCATGCTGATCACTCTTAGGGCTTAAAGGGTTAATTCGAGTCTCTGTTAGGTGAGATCTTGTCTAAGCAACGAGACTTAGTGCTGGTACAGGGGGCTATGACTGTAGTAGTCACACTAAATATTAGAGGGTGATCAAGTAGAATTTATTTGTTGTTCCTATGAGACTCTCTCTCCTTATGAACCGTTTTACTGAAGGGCGTTGGCTATAAACTGTTTGAGATCACACTAAAGGTACTACCATTCAAGTGAACCACGCGTGAAGTATAAGAGATTGTTTTCCCGAAATAAAAAAAAAATGTATTTTAGGAACAGTGAATTTCAGCCGCTGTTAATTGTAGGGGTTTCATTAAGAAGAAACCTTGTGCTCGTTTTTTTAACAGCGATTTGAGTGTACCTTCTCACTGGAGTAGTTATGAAATCGTGTTAGAAGCATATAATCTAATAAAACTAATGATAAAGACTTTAAATCATGCTTCTTTTTGGCGTTCCTTACTGGAAACTTTACTGGTCTCGTTTTCAGTGACCCCCCCCCTCCCCTTACGGTTACCTCGTTATTACGGCCTCTTTATTTTGGCCACTTGGCAAAACGGGTCATGTAGCAGTTCAACGGCCATACATTTTATTGTAAAAAAAAAACCCTCGATAATACGGTCACCGGTTAATACGGCCAAATGCTTTTGGACCATTGGCGCTGTACTTGCAATACATACTAAGCCCGAATACTCACACACAAAGCCAAATACAATGTGGGAGGATTCGCTCGTCGGTGTACCAGGAAAGGATTTTCCCCATCGCTACGGGGAGGACGTTGGAGGGAGATCTGCAAGCGAGCGTGCCGTAGCCTGTTCCAGGCTCCGACCTAGTCAGGTCCGTTGAATTGAGAAAGCGCAAACACGAAAAGTAAACTGGAGGACACTCTCCTTTTCTCGTGCCTTCCACTTTCGCGTATTCCCCACCATCTAAGAGCCTGAAACAAGGAACAAGGTCTGTGGTTATGCCCTTTGTTCTTCAGGGCTACGCTGAAATTTAAAGTGGGCGTGTGCTTTCCTATTGAGAAAAGTGTATGTCTTTCAGTCTTGCTTTCGGGTTCTTTGTTTTTTCAAACAAATAAAATAAAATAAAAATAAACCTTATTTGGCCTCTGCGCGTACTTTTGGGCAGCACCTGTCAAACTGATTGTTAACTCCTGCAGTTGGGCCCAGTTGATCGAAGGACGATTAGCTCTAACCCGGGGTTAAATTTTAATCCGGAATCCTGTTACTTTCGTTTAAAGCATTTTTCCGGATAATGTTCCCTAATCTTTTTAGAGCATAACGTCACGAAAATGCAAACCAAAAGAATTAAACTGAATTTGCTTTTTAAACATTTATTTCTGAATTCAAAATTCTCACTAACGCTGGGTTATCTTAACCCCGCTTTGAACCCGGGGGGGGAGCACTTGGGTATTTTTTGGGTGGGTATGTGGCGCCTGGGACTCCAAATTGGCACCCCGTTCTAAAAAAAAATTCCGCTAAAATTGATACCCCGTTCCAGAAATGGGCCAATTTTTTATACTCCGTTCTAGGGTGCAACGAGAGTATAACAGTTTGCTTCAGTAACGCATTGAGCCGTATTTTTAAAAGCAATCTGTCCTTGAATAATTTCAAATGGTTGCTTACAAAACTGGAGCTGTCATGCGTTCGAAATATTATACCCCGTTCTAGAAAACGCCTCTGAAATGGATACCCCTTTCTAAACCAGGAGCTTTAAAATCACGACCCCGTTGGGCGGCACATACCCGTATAGATTATGTATGGGAGTACCCCCCCCCCCC